AAAAATGTGTATGTTTTCAAGACATAGGGTTATAGGGCTTTCTGCTACCTCACTGAGGTGGGGAATAGTGCCTAGTCCAGTATAAGGCATTTTCTAAGTTATAAAGTTGAACCAATAAGTTGTTTTTAATGAAGCTCACCCCACTGGTTCTAGGAATTATCTTTGTGGATAAAAAGAATATCTCTCCTCCCCAACATCCTTTTAAATTCCCAAATACAGTGCTCTGGCCTTTCCTCACATATTTTCCCTCTTCTAACACCTTTATATATCCCACATATTGACTGGTGTGGGGTCAGGGGAAGTCCACATCTTGCTCTGGATCTGAGGGCATGGGGAACTGAAGAGATGCAGTATATTATCATATGCCTTGCAGCTAAGGCACATACAAAAAGCAAAGAGTTTACACCAAGACATGCAGGAGTCATGAAAAGATGCAATGGCTCATCCACAGTGAAATTGCACACTGCCTTCACTCAAAGGCATCTCGCCAAATTTGGAAGGCATAACGCCTCCTGAAATGGTGTTGCACTCTATGCTGGAACTATTATCTGGCAGGCAGAGTGACAGAAATGGTTGGAGTACTAGAAACGATAAACATTCTCTCCGAAGAGAAACATTATTATTATTGTGTGTATGTGTGTGTGTGTGTGTGTGTGTGTGTGTGTGTATTTCCCCACTTCTCTACCTTCCTTCCTTGTAAATTTATTTCGAATGCTCATGAAATAAATTCCCCTTAGGTGCCCAGACCAAAAATTCCTCTGGCTAGTATTAAAACACCAGATATCCACCTTTCCCGAAATATAGGTTACAGCATACCGTGGGGCCTGGCCCCTGAGGACATTTGCCTTTTAGGTGGAATGATTTCACAGGAAAAAATATCTAGACAACTTTACTAGGAAAACAAGGGAGAGCAGTTGAGCCCTCTAGCCTCAACTAGTGTTTAACAAGTGAACAAAAATACTTTATGACATGAGTATGAAAGATCCTGGCTAATTTTCAGACGACCCTTCTTAAGGCAGATTAAGATCTAGGGAATACCTTCACTATGATGACAAATAGAGAGGGGTCCTTATTCTCAGGAACTTTTGAAACTACTAATTGACCAATGAGAAAAAAGCTAATTTGAAACTCTTGCCCAAAGAATAGCAATTTCACCAAGAGGTAGGTAGGTTTGGCAGGGCAGGGCTGAATATTCTAAATGGAAAGGATAGAGCTAGGGAAAGGTGGGCTGAGGAGCCCATGGAGCATAAGCACCTGAATGTCATGCTAAAGCTTGAAAGGAGCATCTGGAATCGCTAGGGTTTGTATGCCAATTACATAAAGCAGAAAGTTGGCAGCTACAGCTTGTATCTGACATGGGTGGCAGCCAAACAGGAGATGGGTATATACAAACTGGTCACCATTTACTTCTTTTTGACAGTACGTTCTTGTAGTCTTTCTATTGTCATGTTCTGTTTCTTTTTAAAGACACTTTCTGTTATGTTGATTTGGACTTTTACCTTTGTTTCGTAGATCTGTTTATTTGAGTTGTATTGAACACACAGCAGATGCTCCGTAAAATTCACTTCTGTTTCAATTCGTGAATTTTTTTCCCCCCAAAAGTGAGTCCTTTCACATTTTGAATGCTGTATTCTCTTCTGTCTTTATTGCTGTATCTCTTCATGAATGTTTTTTTCTGTTTCGTCATCCTTGAGTAAAGGGAGGTGAATGTCAGCTGGGTACTTTTCTATAAAGAGAGAGATGGGTTGTTCTAGGTTTCCTCGCTGTCTGCCAGGAAGTTGAATCCTCTGCTTATCTCAGAAGCTGGAAAGACAGGGGTACATGTAAATTGCGACTGCCTCCCACGCATCCAAAAGGTGCATTATTTCTGTGTCATTTCCTCTCTGGATCTGTTGAAGCCACTTGGCTAGGGTTTTGCTTTCTATTTGCAGCTTCCTGTTGGGTCAGAACTTCACACTGAATGCATAAATGTGACTGCCCAATGTCTGCCTGGCACCACTGGTGACTACATCAGGGAGAAGCCTCTGAATGGCTGACTTTCTGCTAACTGTGGCACAAAGCCTGGGTCTCTCCAGTGGAGCTGATTTCAGTGCTACTGATTGGAACTGCTGAGTGAGATTCTGAGGGAAGCTTTCCCTGAAGGCCCCACTCCTGCTCTGGCCTGGGGTCCCAGCCCCCTGATGAAGGTGATATAAGGCCCTTCATGACTTGATTCTCTCAATACTGTGCTTTCCCAGGAGTGGAATGGTTAAAATGTAGTGGCTGTAAGTCCATAGTCCATAATAATGTCCTTAGTATTTCCAATTATTTTTCAATTGATGAGAATTAGTTTTTAGTTTGTAAAAGTGGAATAGGAAGTGTTTGCATGAAAAACAGGAGATTGTCCTAGTAAAAGGAGAAGTGTCAGCTCATTTTCATGTTTAGTTGTCCTTGTATTATCAGCATTTTATTTCATCTACCTCCTCTTTCCAGAATCTGTTTAAATGACTTGTCCATTTTATAAAGTTTGAGTTAGTGAAATCTAGGTAATGAATCAACAATCCATTTAACCGGAGACTCACGAATCCCCTCCCTTGGAAGACCACTGTCCTAGAGTATGCTTTGAAGTTTTTTTGTGTTTGTTTTGTTTTCTGGAAAGGATATGGATAATAAATTTTGAAGTTTTTGACACCTGAGAATAACTTTATTGACTTGTCATGTACTTGGTTAAGTCTACAGATGTAGATATAAATATCTTGAATTTTTCCCATATTATTATCAAAAATTGGTACTGCTATTAAATTGCTTTTTGATGTTTGGCATGATTGAAGTCGATGGCCAGGACAATTTCTTTGTGTTGCTTTGTAAGTATTATGTTTTATTTTCTCAAATTCATTTCTTTATTCTGTGAAATTTTTCAAATTCATTTCTTTATTATGTGAAATCAAAATTACAGTAGCACACATTCGATTTTTTTTAATTTACTTTTAAAAAATTGTATTTGATCTCTATTCATCTGTTTATATAAGTCTTACTTTAGCCTAGGAAAACTTACTTGATTAAAGCTGCTTCTGTTGTTTTTTCCTATGAAAGTTTTATTATAGGTAGATAAGATCTTCTGTCTTTTTCTTCTATTACTCTTATAATTTCTATCATCATTTTCTTTGTTTTTGTCCTTTCCTCTTAGGTTCTAGAATTGAGATGGGTTCTAATGCAGATTTGTATCAGAATCTTTAAGTACCAAATGAAGAGAGGCATTTTTTAAAAGTTTAATTTTACTCTCCTTTTACTTTGTCGTTTGAGAGACCAAACAGCCTAGCGGGTAGCTGGGCCCCTGGAGGTGAGAGTCAGAACTGGAGGCAGAGTTAGCCAGGAATGTGTTTTGCTAAAGAGCTTCCAATCCTTATTTGGAGCAGCAGTCAGGGCTCCCTGCTGCCATCTCCCCATTCTTTGGCAGGCTGGCCATCCCTTCTGTGTGAGTGGCAAGCCCTTCCTTGCCAACTCCCTGTCCTGTGCTGCCTCTGAAATTCGGAGCTCTTCCTAGTGCCGCTAATGGCATTCACAAGACCGACCTTCACTTCCAAGCCTGCAGAGGCCTCTGCTGATTTCCTTTGCATATTTCCCTTTGTTATACTGGAGATTCATAATTTAGGTAGAGACTACCTGAACCTAATCTTATTCGTATTTTACACCATTGAAATTTCTGAAAATGTTTGTATGGTTGACCCTCTTGCCCCCTTTTTAAGGTTGATCCAAGATTGTGTTTTCTTATTCTTTATTGTGGGTATTTTCATGAAAATCAAAAGGGAGTAGTGTATCTACCTTGCCAAGAAGGCAACCTATTTTCTCCTATTAAGTCCGAGGCTACTTTGAAGTCAGGAAGGTGAAAGCAGATTGCATATTACCAAGGGAAGTGGAGATTCGACAATAATCTTTTATCTTGCTGGAATGTTTCTCATTTGGTTACCTGTGGTGATCACAGTCATTGAATAACGACGACAATGGTTATAACAATTGCTTTTTTAAAGAACAACCAACCACAAGTCACATACTCTATATCAGTTTCATTCCATTTTTATGCCAGCTTCAGAAATTTCATACTTTGCTCTTCATTAAGGTGACACTCAGAGATGTTACATAACTTTCCTAGGGTTGCACAACTTCTAAATTATGAAGTGACTTTCAGACCCCAGTTTGTCTTCAAAGTCTCTACTGTTTTCATTGCTGGTTATCAAACAGCCTGCAGAGGTGACCAGACTCCAAATCTCTGTGGTACTCACGGTGTTCTCAGTTCCTGCATGTTGATCATCCGCAGGCATTTTATTGTTCTCATGAATACTAAGTCCTTCTCTGTGCATATAACGTTCATATAAATAACAGAAAAACACGTTTTATTATTTCTTTTGTATAGTCTGGAGCATCTTGATTTAAAATCCATCCTCATCTGTTCTTTTTTTCTTTTAACTAGGGTATTTATCTGCTCTGAAAGTGATTTTTTTTTCTGTCCAGTAAAACAATTTACTTTCATCTGTTCCTTCTGTAGCCCTCTTGTGGTTCTATTAGTGGTTTAAATCTTTTCATCTGTCTTGGGACATGCCTGGGTCATGCGGCTGCCATTATCTGGGGACACTGCTGAACCAGGTGCCTTCAGCAGAACAGAATCTCAAGAGATGTATGATGATTTTGCTACTGGTCAGGATTTACTACATTCACATAGAACAAAAAGATGAAAATTTTAGAAAAAGCAAAATCATTGATAATTTAGGATTCAGAAAAATGAAAGTTAGCTAAAATGTATGATCAGTGCCTGGTTGGAGAGAAATATTTTCTTCTTACTTCACCATGGCAAAAAAAAGTATGCATTTATTTTATTATTTGCTCCTTTGGTGCATAATTATTTTCCTTTCAGATGTATCACACTAAGTGAGAATGCTCAACGACTGTGAAATGTATCACCATAGTTGTAGGGTTATTCTTCCTTTCCTCTATTCTAATGAAATTATATATTTTTATTTTTCTAGATTACGGTCTTTGGTCAAGCAGTTAGAGAGAGGGGAAGCTTCAGTGGTAGATCTTAAGAAGAATTTGGAATATGCAGCCACAGTGCTTGAATCTGTGTACATTGATGAAACCAGGTAAGCTAAAAATGACAGATTAGGATAGTGATGGCAAATTTTCTGTTAAATGGCTTTTCTGACATTGTCCCCATGCCAAGAATGGGGTGACATTCAAATTACTCATCTTGGAATTTTAGTTTCCACTAACAAAGGGGATAGATCTGGACAAGTCATTTACTCTCTATACCTCCTTATCTATAAAAGAAGCTAATAGAACGTATCTCATATGGTTGTCATGACAAGGAAGTGAGATCATGAAAGAGGAGAACAGCTAATTTTAAAAAATCAAATGTAGAGCTTTATTGTGATTATAGTATGTTGTTAAGTGTCAGTCTAAAAGCTGTGTTTATGTTTTAATTCATAGCAACCATTAGTAAATAGAGGCTCCTCAAGTGGTTGAGAAGCATGTGTTCTCTTATGCTCCCAGCTTTGCCTCTTCAATCTTATGTATGTTGCTGATTTACTTAGCAGACTTAATCCACTTGAATTATCTAAAAATATAAAAGTGGTTTCAGTTACTACATGTGTTTGAAATTGCTTTCCTTTTGAAAAATGTTGAAATGTCGAATATTAAAGGTGGTTTTCTTCCCCCTAATTCAGACAGGCTTCTCTGTCAGTGCTTGTGATGCCTTACTTTTCTTTGCCAAATTCCAATCTGAAAGGATTTCACAGTAATCTAAGATTTGTATGGTTTATTATTATTATTTTGGCAACAGACTTGGTCTCCAATTTAAGGAAATTTGATATCACAGCTTTTTTTCTAAAAGTTATGTTTCCTCTCCTTACCCCCAGCCCAATCAATAAGTCTAAAGGAAAAAAAAAATCCATACAACTTTATATTGACAGCTACTTTTACTGCTAATTTTTAGTTGGGTTTACTATAAAAATGAAATGCTATTTTAGATTTCATTTTAATATTGCTATTTGTGTTCCATTCTAGTGGTCTGACCTATGAACAAATTTGAAAAACCAGCTAAACACAGCTGTCAGACAATTTAAATCATTGTGCGCAAATAAAGAACTGCATTATTTTGAAAATTTTGCTTGAATGTAGACATTTAAATTTTGGTAACAACCTATCAAATGATAAAGAATATTAATTGTCTTCACACAGGATCACTACTTCAGAGGACTGTGTTGCTGTGATTTAGTGAATATTTTGCGAACTCTCTAAGTGTCCATTTTTTAAAAACAAAATAATGTCACATTGTCCATCTATGAAATAATATAATGCTCCCTGTGAATGCATTTTTAAATAGAAGGTTTAAATTTCACTCAAATGCCACGGAGTGCTTCTGGGTGTAATGGACCAGTTCCTTTGTCCAGTCTGGTAGAGAGAAGCATCGTGAAATATTAGTGAGGCCAAGACCATCCTGAAACACACATGGTGAGCTTACATAAGCCTTACCAAAAAAGCACTGTATTTTTTGTGGCAATTTAATTTGGTTTCTTTGCACCTGCATACAGGTGAGGCAGAGAAGAGCAGCTGCTTTGAACAGAGAGCTCCAACTGCAGATTTAAGCTCAGTGTCCTGGTTCTGTTTCTTGTGTTCAGGAGACTCCTGGATACAGAGGATGAGCTAAGTGACATTCAGTCAGATGCTGTGCCTTCTGAGGTCCGAGACTGGCTGGCCTCCACCTTCACACGGCAGATGGGAATGATGCTCAGGAGGAGCGAGGAGAAGCCCAGGTTCAAGAGCATCGTTCACGCAGTGCAGGCTGGGATATTTGTGGAGAGGTAAAGATGTCATTCATTGTCATTCAGTGACTAAGGCCGCAAGAGGAACACATTTCCAATAACTGGAAGCTTTGCTTTAGTGTAGTTTTCCTATCTTTATAAATACTGAAAATTGTGGGTAAAAACAGATAGTCTTGAATGAGAAATGGCAAAAGCATATCTATTTTAATCTCTGTAGCATCATTAAGAAAAGCTTTTGCTTTTGCTCAGAATTTTTTTGTTTACCAGAGAATATTTAGTTTGAGTTCAGTCTCTAATTTTTAAAGCAGGAAATCATCTTATCTATCATCTTTTGAAGTATGTGGATGATATCTTCATTCTGAACACATCTAGGCTGCTTTGAGATTGCTGACCCAAGGGGAGGAGAGTTCATTTCAGTGGTTTGAAGTCCCCATTGACACTTCAATTTTTTAGCTATTTTATTCTTTGAAATCAAATTGACCCCCTTACCCAGCAGTAGATTCCAGAAATAGATATATTCTTCCTATATCCTTATCATATAATTACACATTTTAGAAATACCATGGTGAGTTCAAAGATTACCTAGGACATTTTTCCTTCTTGTTTTTGACACTTCTAAAGAACAAGCTCTTCTAAATGGGTTACCCATAGGGCATCTTCATTCAGATTAAATGACTACAATGCATTCTGTCTATTTTGTACTATAATTCACTATGGCAATAGAAGTGGCCCATTTAATAATTTAATTTCCAGTCTGGGGCCTATAGAGTTAGTTTTTTATTGCCCCAATGGTTCATGTGTTTGGGATTGCTTTAATTTCTTCTGAAATTAACCTTAGACCACTTGAATGAATATAAAAAACAAATGTTAGGTTCTTTGGATCACCCCACTTTTCATTATTTGTCAATACTTGGTATGAATCTGTGGACTACAAATCCTACTTTTTAAGATGCCATGTTGCATTCTTCCCTTTACCTTTGCAGAATGTATAGACGGACATCAAACATGGTTGGACTGAGCTATCCACCAGCTGTTATTGAGGCATTAAAGGTAATAGCAATGAAAAGATCTTCACAATGTACATGGTACCTAATAAAAAAAATAGAGTTAAATTTGTTAGAAAATAAGAGACTTTCATTTACGGTTATTTTTCCAGTTATTCCTGACTTAATTCTTTCATTATCTTTTTATTATCTGTTCTAAAAGTATCACTGTCTTTTCAGCCTTCATCTTCCCAATTTAAAAATAACCAAACTCTGTGTGGGTTTCATTTCTTTCTACTACTCTAGTAGAAAGGGTATTTTAGGTTTTATACAGTGACATGTCATTATGAGATTTATCTGATTTTTCTATACAAGATCAATATGTTATGACCATAAGCATTCAACATTAGGAGGATCTTCAGTATTTATAATTATACCATTATCTGACTACCTATTCCAAGTCCATTTTATAGATGAATAAACCAAAAGTCAGCAAGATTTTAGAAAAGAGTTAGAGACAGAGATAATGTTTCTTAGTAATGTTTTACCACATGAACGTATGGCCCAAGAGCCTTCGTCCCATTTACACATCCCATTGTTTTCCCAAGACTCTCATTGGGCCACATGTTCCCTTGGAACTCATACAAATGTTTGAGTTTAAATGGGCCAGATCCTGCAGAATTACCTCTAATCAGGCAAGTTCTTGGAATTGTATAGAATGTCTCTAGGAGCCCCAAAGCAGATGCATTCCTGAAAGCAGATATTGATGAAGATCCATTGGTCTGAGGGTATTTGAGATTTGCTGAACTTGATTTGGCTTCTGGATTCCAGTGTGCTGCTGATCCTGTAGCCCAGGATCACTGAGGTCGTTGGCATCGCATGTTGTGTATGTATGGACCTGGGCCATGTGTTCAGGGACGGTACAGCATTTTGACCTTTGCTAAAGCCATTGCTCTCTTTCTTTAAAACCTAAAAAATGTGATGATATTTTCAGAAGCTAAATTACCTATTCATGGAGTTAGGAGTTGGGGAGTGCTTCTTGATTAATTTAATGCCAGGAAAGAGCCCCTTGGGACCATCTTGATTATATATTCATAGTCCTTTCTCTTGTCTCAGAGACATTTGCTAACTGAATTTGAGAGACCAGATGTACATAGGTTCTCATTTCTCCTTTTTAAATCTCTAGCCTTTCTGTCTCTTCTTACCTAATCTTAAAAGCAGGAAGGATGCTCAGGTAGGACCCAGCAAGAAGACACGTCTTTTCTCTCATTCTTCTTTATCCTCTAATCTGATGCCCAATACATCAGTGTAATGTACAGTGATATTTCCCATTTTAATCAGTGAAATCACTTCAGGAAATCTCATGTTGTTAATACCCACTATGGAGTTGCATTGATTTTCATAACAGAATCTGAAACATTCAATCAGAGTCTTAGGAACATTAAAGCCATCTTTTGTCTTTATTTTTTCCCTTATCAGGAACATAAATACAAGTGGGTATACTGGTACCAAGATATTTATTGAAATGTTTCTTCCAAATTGAAGCCTCTTTTCTATGCAGAATAAATGGATAAAAATTGGAATAACTGTGATGGGCATGAATTGTTATTTTATACTTAGGGAAGATAAATTCTCAGATGCACACGTGTTGTCTGAGAGGACAGGCACTTCGAGTATTCAGATAAGGAAGACCTACTAGCTCTCTAAATAAATGACTACTTCTCCTCACATAATTGTTGATATAAGCATTAAAGCCAAAGCTGCTATTCCTCCTGGCTGCGTCCCCTGTTTACTGAGGAAGTTCAAAGATTTTTACAATGTACTATTTTTCCACTTCTCCAGATGCTGATTTTATTTGCAATGAGTTGGAGAGATCACAGATATAGACTCTTTTGTTTCTCTCTTTATGTGCTACCTATTAGAGAAAAGATTATTTCTACTTCATTGCCATAAAATAGTAGTGATATGGAATCACTACTGTTTTATTACAGAAAATTTCCCCATAGACTGAGAGAATACAATTCCCTAAAATAACTCTTTTGCTACTGTCATGTTAACCTTTGTGGTTAATGTAAGAACACGACATAAAATGATATTTAAGTAAGAGAATAATGAACCAGTCTCTAAATTTGAAACATGTTGCATTATGTTCTTTCTACTTTTTCCATTGTCTATAAGTAAGCTTCTAACTTGAGCTGTTCTATCTCTAGTCTTCTGAGGTTAGTCTAATGGAAATATAGCTGTGTGCTCTTCTTTAGAAGGGCATCTGTTTTGTGACTCAGGAAGTGACACCTTGGAAAGACTCCAGGTTTAAAGTGGGAGGAGATGAGGAGTTCAGGCTTCCTTTGTGTTAGCCTAACAGGAAGTTCCTGCAATTTCTCTATAGGATGTGTCCTTGGGTAAAATTTGGCAAAAGAGGAAGAATGGCTGAAGGCAGTTAAACTGGGTGCTCGTGAAAAATGCAGATTCCAGGCCCCACACCAGGATTCTCTAGAGTCTCCACTGGAGAATCCATATTTTTGCTGAGCCCCTCAACTGGTTCTGAAGAACATTAGACTGAGAGTTACAGTTAAGGCTTCCCTAACATGAGGGACCAAAGAGGACAGCATCTCACTGCCTGTATTTGCTCATCCTCTTGGTTCTCTAAGTCCTGATACTCAGAAAAAATTTGGCTTTTTATCATGATAAATCTCTTTATTTCTAGTGATAGAGAGCCCTTTCCTATTTTATTGGTTCTGGACACTATTATAAATTGTCAGAAGTGACACAACGTTTTCCAACCTTCTGAGCTGTCAGTGACTTTTTCCTTAGGACTAAATATCAGATAATATATGTGACTCATGGCAGTGCCAAAGATAGTAACCAAGGTAAAGCTTTAGGTCTTGGGTTAACCTTAAATGTCCTTGTTGTCCCACTAGCCTGGGCCCTACTGGGATTTTAAAGGGATGAGACCTGGGTCACAGCACATATTCATGGAGTTTACAATTTCATCTGTTGGCAGTGAGATCACTAGGGGTTGTTAGTGGGGTTATTACCTGGCTCTGGTACCTTATGGCACTAGACATTTCAATTAATCTGAGGTGGCCATCTATGAAACTGGAGAAAGTAACACCAGTCTCTAGACCTGCGAGGTTTTGCAAATGTGTATAAACACTCACACTGTGCCTAGAACAGAAAATGTGCTCACAGAATGTGCCTTATTAGGATGTCCATTACCTGCAGTATTTATCATTTCTTTGGTTATTTTAATGGAGGGGCAGTTTTTGAAGACTGAAGTGAGGTTACCATTAAGTGTGAATTGGAACAACTCAGTTGAAATCTATCTGGAAAAGTTAGATTTCCCTATATACAATTCTGTTTTCCCTGAAAGCTGTTTATTAGCATCCAGGAGGGAGACCCTTGATGGCCTTGGGATGAATTTGACAGATGGAATGTTTGGACAAGAACAAAATTGGGATGGATGGATTGTGTTGGAATTCAGTGAGGGCTGGGAAGAGAGTCACTTATGAGAACCAAGGGTGCCTTGCCTGTAGGCAGTGTGGGCTCATGTAGATCCTTGCTATCAGCTCAAGTCAACATGCTTCACTTAACTGCAGGAAGTGAGACTTTTGGTGCCATGAAAAACCAAATGACTGTTGCTTTAACTGTTTCAAACAAATCTTTGTTTACTCCATCCACGAGAAGTTGGTTACGATCAGCCAAAGCACATCGGACTATATTTACGTATAATTTGGAGTAGGTATTTACAGGCAAAGACTTTGAACTTCAGGGATGGTATATACGGTGTGTGTTCAGTTTAGCTTTTCCTTTTACTTCTTTTCAGTAAAGTGACTTACAGATTTGAGAACAAGATCCCAGGCTAGTGACTCCAGAAACGGTAGCATTTTCCTGTCCTATGGAATGAATGCCTCGTTTTTGGTTTCAGCTCAGCAGTTTAGATTGATGTGACATATTATTTTGTATTCTATATCATGCATGTTTCTGAACTCTGACCAATTAGTTAACATTCTTAACTGTAAACTTACGGGAAGTCACTGGACAGTGTCAAGGGATCGGAGAAAGGTTCAGAGAAGAGAAGCGCCCTAGGCTGTAGGAAATTAAACAGTAGCAGCTGCAGGGCATAATGGAAAGTGACTATTATTCAGGCAACCTATGTTTGTGTTCTGGCCCTGCCTGTGTCCCAAGCACTTACTCACCTTGGGTATTAGGGAAATTGGGTAATTTATCAGTTTTCTTATCTGTAAAATAATATCTATCACTTAGAGTTGTTTTCAGGATAAATTACATATTTATCACCAACCATAATGCCTGCCATACATAAGTACTCAATAAATTATGGCTATTTTTATTAGTAATAAGACTATTTAATGTTTTTAAATAATGAAGCCTAACCAGACTGAAAAAAGTTCGAGTGGAAAGGCTGTAGGAGTCTCACACTGTGAAATCTCGAGGGCTGCAGGCAGATTTGAAAGTGGGGAGATTGGTAGGTATGTAAGTGACATTGGCCTAATGTGTTCTTTCTCCCCACCCTGTCCTGTAGGATGTGGACAAGTGGTCCTTTGATGTCTTTTCCCTCAATGAGGCCAGTGGGGATCATGCACTGAAATTTATTTTCTATGAACTACTCACACGCTATGATCTGATCAGCCGTTTCAAGGTCAGTATCTCTTTAAAAAGAAAAATAAACTACATGCATGTGTTTATCCTCATATGACCTTTGGGTTCAGATTCTTTTAATGTGCAGAATGAAAACTGCTCCAGGCTATCCTTTGGATAGCCACTTCTTGAATTCTTCTGTGGAGGGTGCTTTTGATTACACCCTTGCTGGTGGATCTCAGTGGCATGGGAGAGATGGGAGAGAATGGAGAGACCCATTTAGATTCTGGTCTTCCTGGAATTACAACCTGAAGCCTGAAATAACCAAGCTCCCCCTCAGGCTCTGCTCACAGGTCTCATTTCAACATGACTTTGTGTCCTATCAACCAACGCCGTCAGAGACAGTAGAGGAGACAGAATGAGCATCTGCTGTCTCTGTAAACCTTTTTTTCCCACCACTTGGCTCATCAGACAAATACTATCACATCATCTGTGACAGCTCATTGGTATTTCCCCACCATTCGTGCTTCAAATTAATTCTTCAACTTTACATAAAAGAACGTGAATCATTTCCAGTGTTCAACTCCCTACAGCCTTCCAATACTATAGACTCTCGAAGTGGGGTCAGATCCTCAAGGACTTGAGGTATTCATCTGCCAACATCTATGGTATCGAGCTCCTCTGACTTCTCTCATCAAAGGGATAAACTGGAAAACACACGTCCTTTTTTCTGTACAACATCTTGATTTCTCCAGAGACATGGGTCTTTATACTCTCCTAGGGACTGTATATTTGTGTGTGTGTATATATATATATATATAATTTTGGTACAAATATTGTATGTATTTATAGGGTACATGTGATACTTTTTACATACATAGACTATGTAATGATTAAGTCAAGGTTATTAAGATGTTCATTACCTGCAGTATTTCTCATTTCTATGTGTTAGAAACCTTTCAAGTCCTCTCTTCTAGCTATTTTGAAATGCACAATACATTCTTGTTAACTGTAGTCACACTACTCTGCTATTGAGCATTAGACTTTAATCCTTCTGTCTTTTTTTTCTTTTTGAGATGGAGTCTTGGTCTGTCCCTCAGGCTAGAGTGCAGTGATATGATTGCAGCTCACTGTGACCTCTGCTGGGTTCAAACAATTCTCCTCCCTCAGCCTCTTGAGTATCTGGGACTACAGGCTTGTACCACCATGCCTGGCTAATTTTTTGCATTTCTAGTAGAGACAGGGTTTTACCGTTTTAGCCAGCATGGTATCAGTATCCTGACCTTGTGATCCACCCATCCCAGCCTCCCAAAGTGCTGGGATTACAGATGTGGGCTCCCACGCCTGGCCTAATCCTTCTAACTAACTGTATGTTGGTACCCATTAACCAACCCCTCTTTATCACAAACCCCTGAACCCCAACACACATCCCAGTCTCCAGTACCTATCATTCTACTCTCTAACAGTGTAAGATCAACATTTTTAGCTCCCACATGTGAGTGAGAACATGTGCTATTTGTCTTTCCACGCCTGGATTATTTCACTTAATGTAATGACTTCCAGTTCTATCCATGTTGTTGCAAATGACATGACTTCATTCTTTTTTATGCTGAATCGTATTTCATTATGTATGTATACCAGGTTTTCTTTATCCATTCATCCACTGATGGACACTTAGCTTGATTGTGTATAGTACTCAAATAAACATGAGGGTGCAGATATCCCTTTGATACACTGATTTCTTTTCATTTGGATAAATACCCAGTAGTGAGATTGCTGGATTACATGGTGGTTCTACTTTTAGGTTTTTTTTTTGGGGGGGGGGGTTGTTTGTTTGTTTTTTGAGAAATCCCCACACTGTTTTCCATAGTGACTTTACTAATTTACATTCCCACCAAACCATGTAGAAGTTCTCCTGTTTTTCTACCTCCTCACCAGCATCTTTTAAAAAATAATACTAATAGCAATTCTTACTGTGGTAAGATGATATCTCATTGTGGTTTTGATTTGTATTTCCCTGATGATTAGTGAGGTTGTGCATTTTTTTCACATATGCACTGCCCATTATATGTCTTCATTTGAGAAATGTCTATTTATATCCTTGCCCACTTTTCAACGGGATTACTTGTTATTCTTACCAAGTTGTTTGAGTTTCCTGTACATTCTGGATATTAGTCCTCTGTCAGATGAATGTTTGCAAATGCTTCTGAAACTTAAGAGATTGTCTCTTCACTCTCTTGATGGTTTCCTTTACTGTGCAGAAGATTTTTAGTTTAATGTAGTTCCATTTGTCTATTTTTGTTTTGATTGCCTCTGTTTTTGAGGTCTTAACCGTAACATCTTTGCCTAGACCAATGTCTTGAAGTGTTTTTTTACTCTTCTGGTTTTATAGTTTTGAGTCTTGTGTTAAACTCCTTAATATATCTTGAGTTGATTTTTGTATATAATAAGAGATAGGTGTCTAGTTTTATTGTTCTACATATGGATATGCAATTTTCCCAGAGTTATTTATTGAAGGAGGTCCTTTCTGTAAGTTTTGGTGCCTTTCTGTAATTTTCCCAGAGTTATTTATTGAAGGAGGTCCTTTCTGTAAGTTTTTGGTGCCTTTATAAAAAATCAGTTAGCTGCAAATATGTTGATTTATTTATGGGTTTCCTATTATATTCCATTGGTTGATGTATCGGTTTTTATACTATTACCATGCTGTTTTGGTTACTATAGTCTTATAACATATTTTGAAATTATGTAGTGTGATGCCTCCAGCTTTGTTGTTTTTGCTCAGGATTGCTTTGGCTAATTGGTCTCTTCTGGGGCTCTCTATATATATTTTTTTTATTTCTGTGAAAAATGGCGTTGGTATTTTGATAGAGATTGAATTGAATCTGTAAATTGCTTTGAACTGCATAATCACTTTAACAACATTAATTTTTCCCATACAGGAGCATGATGTGTCTTTCCATTTATTTGTGTCCTCTTCACTTTCTTTCATCAGTGTTTTGCAGTTTTCCCTAGAGAGGTCTTGTACCTCCTTGGGTAAATTTATTCCTAGGTATTATTTATTCCTAGGCTAGTGAATATATTGTAAATGACATTGCTTTCCTGATTTCTTTTTAGGTTTCTCTAGATATAAGATTATATCATCTACAAAGAGAAAATTTGACTTTATCTTTTCCAATTTGGATGCCCTTTATATCTTACCTTTGCCTGATTGCTCTAAGAACTCAAGTAATATGTTGAATGGAGTGGTAAAAGTGGAGATATTTGTATTGTTCCAGTTCTTAGAGGAAAGCCTTTCAACTTTTCCTTATTCAGTATGAAGTTAACTGTGTGTTTTTATATATTATCTTTATTATGTTAAGATATGTTCTTTCAATTCCTAGTTTCTTGACTTTTTATCATGAAGGGATATTGAATTTTATCAAATGTTTTCTCTGCATCTATTGAGATTATCCTATGGCTTTTGTCCTTCATTCTCTTAATATGTGATGTATTATCATGTTTATTGGTTTTCATATGTTGAACTATCCGTGTATCTTGGGATTCATCCTACTTGATCATGGCATATTATCTTTTTGATGTGCTGCTAGATTCAGTTTGCTAGTATTTTGTTGAGGATTTTTCATCTATGTTCATCAAGGATGGTGGCCTGTGGTTGTGTTTTATTATTTTTGCAGCCTTGTCTGGTTTTCATGTCAGAGAAATACTGACATTGTAGAATGAGTTAGGGAGAAGAAGAAATTTCCCCTTCAATTTTTTGGAAAATTTTAGGGGAACTGATGTTAGTTCTTCTTTGAACGTTTGGTGGAATTTGATAGTGAAGCTATCTGGTCCTAGACTTTTCTTTTTGGGGAGAATTTATATGACAGATTCAAACTCATTACTCATTATTGGTCTGTCCAGGTTTTCTATTTCTTCATGATTGAGTCTTGGTAAGTTGTATGTCCAGGGACTTATCTATTTCTTCTAAGTTTTCTAGTTTGTTAGTACATAGTTGTTTGTAATAGTCTCTGATAATCTTTTGTATTTTTGTGGTATCAGTTGTAATATCTCCCTTTTCACTTTTGATGTTGTTTATTTTAATCTTCTCTTTTTTTCTTTGTTAGTCTAGCTAGCAGTTTTTTGTTTGTGTTTTCAAAAAATCAACTTTCATTTAATTGTTCCATTGCATTGTTTTGTTACTCTCTATTTTATTTAATTCTGCTCTGATCATCATTCTTTCTTTTTCTTACTAATTCGAGTTTGGTTTGATCTTGCTTTCTTCTTCATTGAGGTGAAGTGTTAGATTGTCTACTTGGAATTTTTCTTCTTTTTGGACACGTTTATTGCTATGAATTTCCCTCATAGCACTGCTTTTGCTATCCCATAGCTTTTAATATGTTGTGTTTAGAGTTTCATTTACTTTAAACATGTTTTTATTTCCTCCTTAATTTCTTTCTTAATCCAATGGTAATTCAGGAACATGTTATTTAATTTCCATGTATTTGTATAATTTCCAAATTTTATTTTGTTGATTTCTAGTTTTGTTTTATTATATTGTGATCTGAGAAGACACTTGATATTATTTTGATTTTTAATTTTTTTGAGACTTATTTTGTGTTCTAACATATGATCTAGGCTGGAGAATGTTCTTCATGCCGATGAGAAAAATCTGTGTTCTGTAACTGTTGGATAAAATGTTCTGTGTCTATTAAGGCCATTTGGTCTAATGTGAAGTTTAAATCCAACTTTGTTAATTTTCTATATAGATGTTCTGTTTGATGCCATGATAGAGTGTCAAAGTCTCAAACTATTATTGTATTAGAGTCAATCTCTTCTTCAAGTCTAGTAATATTTGCTTTATACATCTGGGTGCTTCAGTGTTAGGTGTGTGTATGTTTAGAAATGTTATATCCTTTTACTGAATTGATCCTTTTTTCATGATACCATAACTTTGTCTCTTTGTACTATATTTGACTTAAAGTCTGTTTTATCTGTTATAAGTATAGCTACTCCTGCTTGCTTTTGATTTCCATTTGCATGGGATTTTTTAAAATGTCTATTTCTTTTCAGTCTATATGTGTCTTTACAGGTGAAAAGAGTTTTTTGTAGGTGGCACATAGTTGGATCATGAATTCTTTCTTTTTTTTTTTTAAAATCCATTTAGCCAGTCTATCTTTTAAGTGAGAAGTTTAACCAATTAACATCTAAGGTTGCTATTGATATGTGAGGACTTGTTCCTGTCATTTTATTAATTGATTTCAGATTTATTATGTATCCTTTCTTACATTCTTATTGTTTATAATTGTGGTTTGGTGGTTTTCTGTAGTGCTAACATTTGGATTTTTTTTCTTCCTTATTTGTGTATTTGCTCTACCAGTGAGTTTTTTTTTTCCTTTTTCGTTTTCATGATGGTAGATATTGTTTTTTTGTTTCCAGGTGTGCGACATCCTTAAGTATTCATTATAGGTCTGGTCAAGTTATGAGGAATTCCCTCTGCATTTGCTTGTCTGGCTGGGAAAGGCTTTATTTCTCCTTCATTAAGGAAAAATAGCTGTGCTAAATATAGCATCCTTGGCTGGCTTTTTTTTTTTTTTTTAGCTCTTTGAATCTATTAACTCATTATCTTTTTGCCTTTAGAGTTTCTGATGAGATATCTTTTGTTTTTCTGATGAAGTTTTCCTTATAAGTTACTACATTTTTTTTTTTTTTTTTTTTTTTTGCTGTTTTTAGAATTTTTTGTCTTTGATTTTGACAGTTTGACTCTAATGTGCTGTGGAGATCTTTTTGAATTGTATCTGTTTGGGAATCTTTGGGCTTCCTGTGTCTGGGTATCTAAGTTTCTTGCCACATTGGGAATTTTTTCAGTAGTATCTTGTTACATAGGGTTTCTAACTCTTTTGTTTCCTCTTTGCTTTGGGGATACGGAAAATGCAAACCTGTTATTGTTTAATGGTGGTCTGCTTACCACATAGGCTTTGTTTATTCTTTTTTCTTTATTTTTGCCAGACTGCATTTTTTGTTAGGACCTGTCTTCTAGTTCTGAACTTTTTTCTTCTTGCTTGGTCTAGTCTACTGTTGAAGGTTTCAAAAGTATTTTGTATTTTATTACATGAATTCTTCTACTCCACAATTTCTGTCTGGCAATTTGTATGATAGCTATCTCTTTGGTAAATTCATAATTAATATCCTGAATTGTTTTCTTGATTCCTTTGTATTACTTTTATATATTCTCTTGTATATTATTGAGCCTCTTTAGAAACAATAATTTGAATAATTTATCCAAAACTACATAAATTTCATTTTTATTGGGGTCTCTTGCTGGGTAATTTTACAATCCTTTGGAAATGTCATACCTCTTTGCTTTATAAATGTTTCTTATATCCTTATGTCAATATCTATGCATCTTGTGTAACAGTCACTTGTTTGCATTTTAAAAATTTGCTTTCACAGAGGAGAACTTTTTCCTGAAGATGTATCTATGGTGTTGGTTGAGTAGAGAACCTTGGCTTTGATTCTGGGTGTACACAGTGGTACAATTTTGGATGATTCCTTTGGATATAAACTATGTCATTGGTGTATGTGATTTCTTCAGTAGTTTAGAGTGTAATTGTTAGTGGAGGCTGTAGTGAATTTTCACTGCAGATGGGGTGCCAGTAGGGCTTGACCTTGGCCCCCAGTAGTGGCAGTGGGTGGGCCAAGCATGCCTGTCCCATGCCTTGGGCCCCAGGGAGTTCTACACTTGCACTGGTGTTAGCAGGTCCAGAAGGCCTGATCTTGGGTTTCCAGCATCTTACTCAGGAGACAGTGGTGACAGCAATGAGCCATGTGATTGGGGGCTTCTCAGTCCCCTGAATAGTAGGCATGGCATGAGCACTGGCAGTAGCAGTGGTAAGATTAACTCCTCGGTTGCAAGCATCATAGAGGTAGCTATGACAATCTTGGTGGACTAGTCTCCAGGCTCACAGAGCCCTTCCCACTGAGGAAATATGTCTTTATATGACCAAAAATACTTCATGGTTATGGTCCTTAGGTCCTTAATTTTTCTTTGCATCAGAAATCTGCAAGAAAATCTTGTGGATTTTGGAGACTCTGCTTGGAAAAAAATTCCTGCACGTGCGTGTACTTGCGCGCGCGCACACACATGCACACACACACACGCACACATACAGAGCCCTTGCAAGCTTTTTGTAGATCTCTATAAAACAACCCAAGGGGCCCAGATTCATTGGATCTTTATTTTTCAAAATGATAATGAATTCATCTCTGACCTCTTAAATGTCATACTTAAATTTGTAAAAATCCACACATGGTAAAATGGAAGAATACACCCAAGGGAGAACCAATCCTGGAATCTCAGAAGCATTAACTTAGCATTTTCCTTATTTTTTTCTTACACATGTAATTGTTAATCCTCAGGAAGACACACCATTTCCTTTTCCCTAGCCTTATATTGTATAATTTATCCTGAACCATGGAATGAATCCAGAAAACGAATACAATGAATGTTTTCTGGATGCCCTTATTCTGTAATGTTCTTTGCTGCTACATAGAAAAGAAAGGCATGTATATTATACATATTTCAGATGGAAAAACAATCTAGTTGGAAAGATTCCAAGCGACTGGTAGTTGCAAATAAAGGCTGAAGTATTTTATTTGTGGAGAAATAAATGAATACATACTATGCAGCATATCTCATTTATTTGTAGGAAAACAAAGTACATGAAAATCTTAATGAAATTATTGCAAAACAAATATAAACTGCCTGAAAAGAATCCCCTTTGAAAGGAGTGGTTAAATACATTGAACACACGAGAAGAACTAAACAAAATGAAAACCCCAAACCAAGCAAAACCAAAACGTGACAGTCTGTTTTTATGTATGGGAACAGGAGCAGGCTATGTTCTTATGTTTGTTACTTGACAATTCATTATTAGTGACTTAGACTTTGGAAGATCTCATTCTGATGTTAGGTTACAAATAGTGAGTGATTCCACAAACTAGAACTAATTATTAGTATTATTTTCGAATTCCTCAGTGTTGTTTACAAAACTGTTTGGTGTCCTGCATAGCATCTTGTTTTCCCTTGGGGTTAGAGTGAGGACAAGGAGATACAGAAAATTAACATAGTCACCAACAACCCAGTTTACTAGGTGTGTATTAAACATTACTGCTTTCCATGTCAATAAAACTAAGTATCTTGAAATGATTCAATGTCATTTCTCAGGGATTCTGAAATGAGCAACAAAGAAAAATTTACAAGGCAGACTGTTAACCAAGAACTTCTGTTAGAATTCAAAATTATCTGATAATTTTGTCAGTAACTTTTATCAACTGTGTAAAGTTTCAGTTCCCTCATGTGGTATGTTATGCCTCCAGAAAAAAGCAGTCCTGGTGCCTTAGACTTTTGTGTCTCCATTGAAAGCAGCAAAGTCACTAGTTAATTGACCTGACTGCTCTCTTTCAGATCCCCATTTCTGCACTTGTCTCATTTGTGGAGGCCCTGGAAGTGGGATACAGCAAGCACAAAAATCCTTACCACAACTTAATGCACGCTGCTGACGTTACACAGACAGTGCATTACCTCCTCTATAAGACAGGAGTGGCGGTAAGTATGGATAGGAACTCTTAGGTTCCCCAGAAGATGCAAGGATGAGTTTTTAGTGGTGACTGTTCTGATGAGGTGGAGGCCATGAGTGGTGCATTGTTTTACGGACTTCCTGTTTTCCAGGAGTAATCTAACCAATATGGAAAGTCTTGGACTTCCCTGTTGCCTCTAAAATTTTTTCCATCCTAAGCCTGTTGAGATAAATGCCTGGTAGTGACTTTCGTCTTCAACGGGTTGTAACCAATTCAAATATAACAACCACAACTAAATATGTATTTCCAGATATGGAGAGTGGTACTATAAACCTTGTGCTGTGGTCGATAACAATGACATTCATGCATACTGAAATTGTATTCAATGTACTTGGCAACCATGTGACGCAAAGTTAGCTTTTGGTTTAAACCACCAGGTCTTTTTCATAGGGACTATGGTTATTCATATCCTATTTGTATACCTTTAATTATTTTTAACTTAAGGGTAAATCTTTACTTCTAACCATCTGAAGTGTTTCTTGCTTCTTTTGGCTCAGCATTTTAGCTCTTGAGATGTTTTTGGTTTTGCCTTAAGATTTTTTTTTAACAGATGGGAATCTCAGTCTATCACCCAGGCTGGAGTGCAATGGAGCGATCATAGCTCACTGCAGCCTCTAACTCCTGGGTTCAAGTGGTCCTCCTGTCACAGCCTGCTGAGTAGCTGGGACTATAGGCATCATCTTCGTTGTTTTTGAATCTCTGTTCTGTGTTTACTCACCTGCACGACGTGGTTGTCTTCGCCTTTTTTTTTTTTTTTTTTGCCTTGATGTAAGCCATTCATTTAAAAAGGATGGTCATTAGAGGCAAAAACAGGCCTGTGTGACTTTTTACTTTGAAATCTCCTTCAGAATTACATTAGGATAGACATTCTTCGGGGATAGTTATCAATTATCCCATAAACTCAGGGCGCATCTGTTATCTTTTCCTCCAGTGCCTGTTTAAAGACTTGGCCTAATATCTCACTGAATTAAAAAAGGAATATGTGGGAGGAGTGTGGGCTTTCAAGCTAGATACAGTGACTATAATTCCCTGCTTAATTGCTTACTGGATATTGTGACCTATGATAAATTACTTGAGTCTCTGAACGAAGACTTCCTCATTTTTTAAAATGGTGAAAAATATTCCACTTTGTAGAAGTCCTCTGATGTTTAGGAATAAAGTATCAAAATATTAAGTACTCTGCCTCATAAAAGAAGCTCAAAGATTAGGCATTATTATTGTTAAAACATTGCAGAATTTTCCTAAAGCCTAATATTATCTCTTTTAGTTATTCCTTATTATAAAGCAGATTTCTTAAAAATAGTATTTAAAACACTGTCTCTGAAGTTATAGCCAGATTATTAAGGGAAGATTTTTAACTCAATAAAAGGTTTTCTTTTTTTGTTTGTTTGTTTTCTTTTTTTTTTTTTTTTTTTTTTTTTTTTTTGAGACTGAGTTTCGCTCCCGTTACCCAGGCTGGAGTGCAATGGCGCGATCTCGGCTCACCGCTACCTCCGCCTCCTGGGTTCAGGCAATTCTCCTGCCTCAGCCTCCTGAGTAGCTGGGATTACAGGCACGCGCCACCATGCCCAGCTAATTTTTTGTATTTTCAGTAGAGACGGGGTTTCACCATGTTAACCAGGATGGTCTTGATCTCTTGACCTCGTGATCCACCAGCCACGGCCTCCCAAAGTGCTGGGATTACAGGCGTGAGACACCGCGCCTGGCCAATAAAAGGTTTTTACTAAACATTTAGAGCAAGTGTCATATTGAATAATGGTTCCATGAATACTTGGAGCAAGACAGGGATGCCCACATTGATACTGCTACCTGGCATTTTTCTGGAAGTCTCAGCCTCAAGAATGCAGTATGTAATATACGATATGATATCTTCAAAAGGCGAAGATACAGCCTGTGAAATAATGTGATTATCTCCTTTAGAAAATAAAAGAAAACCTTACAAATTCTTAGATCAATATGGTCTAGATAAAAGAGCTCGCCCATGCACTGGAAATTAACGAGTGTAGTAGAGAAATGTACATTCCCAACAGTTTTTAAAAAGTCTACAAATCACCTATAAAGAGCTTCAAAAACAATAAAAAGGAAACTGCAAAAACTAAATCAAAGGGCACAAAAATTATCTTTAAATAAATGGAAAAGGCATCATGTTTTTAATCTGAGTGAAACCTCAGGCTTATATAGATGTCAGTTTCCCTCAAAATAATCTATAAATTCAAAGCAATACTAATCAATGTCTCAAGGATTTTAATATGGAATATAATGTGAATCTGATATTCATGTAAAATAGGTATTTCACAACGTTAGAAAAGACAACTTTGTAAAAGAACAATGTACAGGGGAGTAGTTCTTACGCTCTTAGATATTACAATGTCTACTGAAGCTGAGCATGTACTGTTTGTGAAAAAAAATAGGCAAATATATCAATAGAATTGATTAGAGTTTCAAAAAATAAACCCAAATGTTAATCGATAACTTATATGCTGGGTCCTTTATTATAGGATGCTATAGACAATGTTTGTGTTCCCCCAAATTCCTCTGTTGAAATCCTAACTTCCAATTGGGTAGTGGGTCCTAGAGGAGGTGACTAGGTCATGAGCGTGGGGCTGTCATGAATGGGATTAATGCCTTAATAAAAAGAAGTTCCCTTCCCTCTTCTGCCATGTGAGGACACAGTCTTCTATAAATCCAGAAGCAGGCCCTCACCAGATGCCAAATCTACCAGCGCCTTGATCTTAAGCTTCCTAGCCTCCAGAACTGTGAGAAATAAACTTCTGTTGTTTATAAGTCACTAGCCTATGGTATTCAGTTATAGCTGCTCAAATGGACTAAGACATAAGATAGGAGGATATCAGTGCTCTTGTAGAACTTAACATTCTAGTGTGAAGTTACAGATAGAAGAGACCAGTGGAAATTAATCAAGAAAATGTTATTAATACTCTGCAGAGAAGTAAAATAGAGCACCTACCTAGGGAAAGCTGGGTGTTTTATTAGATAGTCAGGACTGGACTTTCTAGTCTAGAGATAGTATTTAAGCTGAGATAGTTGTGTTTTTGGCTTCAGCTATGCTAACAGTGAAAGAAGAGTATGACTGCAGAGTTAGTGTAGGGTTTTAGTACAAGAGTCCTGTGAGAGAATAACTTTGCTACATTCAAGGAGTAGAAGGCAAGCCTGATGGGAATAGCACATGATGGAGACCGCGGTGCATTATAAGGCTGAGGAAGAAGTGGTAGCTAGACCAGGTCTGGCTTTACAGGCCTCGGTAATGAGTTCCAATTCTATCTTGAGTGCAATCAGTAGAAAGCCATTATCGGGTTTTAGACAGAGGAGTGATGTGATCTGATAAAGATTCAAAAAGGATTCTTGTGGGGAATGGATTTTAAGGCAGGTTGCTAGGAAAATCCTGCAGAAACCTAGTGAAGAGATGCTGGTAGTTTGGACTAGGAAGGGTGCTGCTGATGGAGAGGAGAAAATGCTGTTTCTGAGACAGAGATAAAAGGACTGCTGTGGTGAATAGGATTTGGAATATTAAAGTGGGGAATCGAGAATACATCTTAGATTTGTGGTTTGATAAACAGAGTTGACAAGAATGCCTGGTGGCAAACCAATTTTTGGAGGAAAGGGGATCAATACTTCTGATTTAGACATGTGGATTTCAAAATCCCTAGGCATCCATGTACAGAGGGCAAGCAGAAAAAAATTAAAGGATGCCAAAGTTCCAGGGGAGGTCAAGGATAAACATGTAAATTAGGTAGTCTCGGGCATATCAATACTATAAGAAGACATGGAACTACATGAGATTATCTAAAGGGAGAATGAATGGAGAAGTGGAAGGAGCTCTGAAGTGAGTGCTGGAACACTCCATAGATCAAAATGAAGGCAAAGAATTGGAGCCAGCAATAGAAACTTAAAAAGAGTGGCCAATGACATGGGGTATAAACCAAGAGAGTCTAGGGTCATGGAAGCCAAGGAAAGAGAATGCTTCAAGAAGAGAGTGGTGCATTGCATGGGGCATGCCAATGGTCAAGTAACAGAAGGACAGAGAAGTGACCAGGCGCTCTGGCAACTTGAAAGTCATTGTTGACCTTGACCTGTGTTGTCTTAATGGTTTGGTGACAATGGAACTCTGACTAGAGTATAATAAAGAAAAAATTGCACGTGAGAACATGAAGACATGACTAGAGACAACGTTTTATGGAAAATTACGCAGTTTAAAAATTATTTTGGCTACAGTTATTTATTTAGAAAAAAACAGAATGCTTTTGTTCTAATTCGAGTCATTCACCCCCCAAAGAAATCTGACAAATGAATTAAAGATGTAAATGCAAAAGTAAAAATTTGATAATATTAGAAGAAAAAATAAGAATATGTTTATAGCCTTGAAAAAAGACATTTTTTAAAAATTAAGCTTTGAAACACAAGTTGTACCATAAAATATTGATTAATTTGAATATATTAAAGTTAAAAACTTCTGTAGGATAAAAAGCATCATAAACAAAATAATGAAGTAAGCATTTGGAGAACATACATAGAGACCATGGATTAAGAGCCAGATTGTATAAATAAATCAGGAAAATGACACAAATTCAGTTAAAAAATATGATCAGGCAATTAACAGAAAAGGTAATACATTTAATCAATTAAAGAAGTATGAAAAGATGCACCACTCATTAGTATCCAAGGATACATAAACTTATACCAATTTTAATTTATTATATACATATGGATACAAATGTTGAAAGTTTGATAACATTAGCTATGGGTCAGGATGTAGAGCAGGGTTTCTCAACCTCAGCACTATTGACGTTTGGGGCCAGTTAATTCTTTGTTGCTTTTCTGTGCATTTTAGTGTAGGAGTATCTGACCTGTAGTCACTAGATGCCAGTGGCACTACTCCCCACTCCAGTTATGACCACCAATCACGTCTCCAGACATTGCCAAATAAACCACTGGTTGGAGGGTGATTGTCCC